AATATTGCTAAAGTTTTCCAACTGCTCCTCTTCCCTTCGGCCCAATGCCCATTCGATCCTCCACACTGCTGCCAACAGTGTTTCTCAGATAAAATCTCCAGTGGTTTCCCTGTGCCTTTAGTTTTTCTATTTTCTGCCCTCCACCCCCAACCCCACTCTTACAGAATGTAAGTGCTGTGTAAAAGGACATCTTAGCTGTTTGGTTCACCATTGGATGGCCAATGCACAAATAGTGCCTGGCACAGAAATATTCAATAAGCATTTGTTAAACAAATAAATAAATTACTGCATGAAACAGTATATTTCATTGCAAGCTTCTTTCCTTCTCTAGCCTGTAAGCTCTCTAGATGAAGAACTCTGTCTTATTCTTCTTGGTCCTCATACTGGCATTTAAAAAAAAAAAAAAAAAGTCATGTGTTACAGAGTAGAACTGCTTCATAGGATTTTCTTGGCTGGGATCCTCACAGAAGCAGGTCATCAACCCTTTCTTCCATGGCACTGCTGGGTAGGTTCAAACTGCCAACTTTTAAGTTAGTTGAGTACAAGCTATTTGAGCCACTCAGGGAGCTTCTTATTGATATCCAGGAAATAAAAAAAAAAAAAAAAAACAGACTCACTGCCATTGAGTCAATTCTGACTCACAGCAACCCCCATAGGGTTTACAATGCTGTAAATCTTTACAGAAGCAGACTGCCTCATCTTTCTTCCGTGGAGTGGCGGGTGGGTTCAAACCACTGACTTTTGGTTAGCAGCCCAATGCCTTAACCACTATACCACCAGTTATCTTACTGTCATAGTACCTGGAATATGAGTAGGCATGAAATCGCTATCTTTGAATATATAAATACATTCAAATAAATGAGCCGATGAAGGAAGGAAGGAAGGAATATGCATATACTGTCTAGTATATGCCTATACTATCTAGACTAGAGGTGGTATAGTGGTTAAGCGCTTGGCTGCTAACCAACACATCAGTGGTTCAAACCCACCAGCTGCTCCTTGGGAGAAAGACCTGGCAGTCTGCTGCCATAAAGACTTGGAAACCCTTTGGGGCAGATCTGACTCAGAGGGACACCCATAAAACAGAATTGGCTTAATGGCAAGGGGTTATCTAGACTAGAGTTTCTTAACCTTGGCTTCATATTAGAATTACCTGGGGAGCTTTAAAAAAAACTTCAATGACCAGGATCAATTAAACCAGAATGTTTTGGTGAGGCCCAGGCATGAGTATATTTAAAGGTCCCCAGGCAATTCCAATGTATAGCCAGAGTTGCAATAAGGTGACCAACCATCCAGGTTTGCTCAGGACTGACGGTTTTATTGAGATGCAGATATTCCAGGCTAAAACTATAACTGTCCCAGGCAAACTGGGTAATTGCTCGCCCTGGCTGAGAATCACTAATCTAAACTGTGACCCTGACTATTCTTGGGTGATTTATTTTCAACTTTTGAGAAGTCAAGACTCATGGGCTTCTTGCTTTCATCTGACACTTATCTACTTACATTCAGCCCTATAGCTCCTGTTGACCTCAAAGATGACTTCCTGCTATGTGTTCTTGTTCAGATCTGTGCTTTTATTGACTTGGGTGACATATAAATTAGTAGTATACAAATGGCAAAAGGAATGCTTAAACCATTACAGCAGGTCAGCAATGACCAGTGCAGGAGCTAAGGAAGCAAAATAGATTGTGAAGTGTTATCATTTCAAATGCAATCCCAAGGAGCCTTCACTCCCCCCCCCCCTTTCAAATTGATGACATTCCATTTTGATAACTTTCCTATTTATACCTCATTTATGCCAGTTACCCTGGCATAAATTTGCTATTCTTGTTGTTATCTGAGGAGATAAGAAATAATTTTCTTGATGGAAGAATCTTTCCGTAAACTGAATTAATATTCAGCATTCCAAACACTAATCAATTTACTACAAGCACATGGTTTACACTAAATCCATCAGTATGTGTCCCGGAGAATCAGAAATGCTCTGAGACCTGTGAAGGGAACATAGTATCACAGCTCCCTAGGGCCTGGCTACTCAAAGTGTGGTCCTCAGATCAGCAGCATCAGCAATATCTGGGAACTTGTCGGGATGCAGAATCTCACAGCCCACTCCAGAACCCCTAGACCAGAACCTCTAGAGGCGAGGCCCAGGAACCTGTATTTTTAGATCTTCAGGTTATTCTTATGCATGCTCAAATTTGAGAAGCTCCCTGGGAAACAACTTGTTTGCCTAGTTCTTAACGTCAGTATTCAAAGCCGGGAGGAAAGAGGACAGCAGGGCCAGGAAGCATATCACACAGTGGTTCCTCATGTTGTAAACACCTGGGGATATTTTTGAAATGTTGATGCCTACCTCCCACCCCAGACAGTGTGATTTAATTAATAGGAGTACAACCAGGGCAGAGAGGGTTTTAAAAGCTCTCTGGGAGCTCTGGTAGCATAGTGCGTAAGGCACTTGACTGCTAATCAGATGCCTGGCCGTTCAAACCCACCAGCCACTCCTCAGAAGGAAGATGGGGCAATCTACTTCCGTAGTGATACTGCCTCGGAAACCCAAGGAGGGGTCACTATGAGTCGGGTCCGACTCGACGGCACGTAACAACAAACAACAGGTGATTCTAATGTGCAGCAAAGTATTGGAATCATTGACATGCACCAGCAGCCACAGCCCCAGCTCATTGCCCTGGCCTTCACAGCTGAAGAACGCAGAGGAACAGGCAGCAAAAGCATTTGCTGCCCCTCCTCCTTTTCTCAAAAATCAGAAGCAGCGGTGATGGAGTAGGAAGCTCACAAGGTCTGAATCTCACCTCCGGATAATGATACCTATTCGTTGACCCTCTGTTAGGAGCTGTATGATCTTTGGCTTTTTGCACAGCAACATGAAGTTGGACAAATATTTAAGCAAATCTGTGTTACTTAGTGAAATCCCTGAGTGGTGAAAACCAGGGCTTTGAACTGGTTCATTCTAGTTCCACCCCCTGCTGAGAATTTACCTTTTCACCCCAGATATGCTGAATCAGAATCTATAGTTTAACAAGATCCTCAGGTGATTTTTATGTATACATCACCTGGGGATCTTGTTAAAATGTAGATTTTGATTCAGTGTATCTGGAGTGGACATGCAAATTCAGTTTATCTGGAATAGAAAAGCAAATTCTCACAACGGAGTCTAACTGGGATGAACCAGTTTAAAGGCCTGGTGAAAACAGTTAACATACTCCGTTGCTTACCAAAAGGTTGGAGGTTCAAGTCCAGGCAGGGGCCCCTAAGAAATGTCTGACAATCTATTGAAAAATCAGCCATTGGAAACTGTATGGAGCACAGTTACATTCTGACACACATGTGGTCACATGCGTTGGAATCGATTCAATGGTTCTCGTATCGCTCAGTAGGATACTTGATGAACCGCAAAACTGTTCACATGTAAATGCACTTATATGATTTCATTTCAGTCTCACAACTTCCCAGGTGGTTAAGCAGGATAATTATCATTGTCCGCACTTCTCAGATAATAAAACAGCAGCTTAGAGAAGCCCAGCGTCACACAGCCATAGAATGGCAGATTCAAGCCCCTTGATTGTAGCTCAATGTTCTCTCCACCTACCTCACTTCTTTCATTCTTGGTCTCACATCCAGTGTTTCAGCAGGTTGTATGTATGGACAGGATGCATTGATTTAGACCACTGCTGTCCAATAGAACTGTCTATGATAATAGCAACGTTCAATAAGTGTGCTATCCAATTCAGTTAGCCACTAAACACAGGTGGCTGTTGAGCACTTGAAATGTGGCCATTTCAATAGAGAAAATGAAGTGTTGATTTTATTCAATTTTAATTAATTGAAATTTAAATAGCCACAAGTGGCTGGTGGCTACCATATTGGACGTTTCTCTTTTAGAGAAAGAGACAGGATAAGAGAAACCTGTTAAAACCTCTCGGGTGGTTTCTGCCTACAAACCAAAGTAAAGCTAGACTGCTTGTTTACCTTTCTCACAAAGCTCTTCTTAGCTTTTGTTCAACAGAGTAGTACCAAAACTGGCCCTCTAGTTGGTGAGGGAGCCATCACCACACAATATACGATTCTAACTACACCTTGCAATCAGTGGTTGTTCAGCAAGGGGGAAAAAACTGTGTTGTAGACCAGGCCACATGTAGACCATAAGCCCATGTGGATCAGAGTAGAACTATGCTCCGTAGGGTTTTCAGTGGCTGAGTTTTCAGAAGTAGGTTGCCAGGCCTTTCTTCTGAGTTCCTCTGGGTGGACTCAACCCTCCAGCTTTCCAGTTAGCAGCTGACACATTAATCATTTGCACCACCCAAGAACTCCCATTGTAGACTAGGACTTCTCAAACTTTAACGTGCACACAAATCATCTGGGATCTGACTAAAATATAAATTCTGATTCCGTAGCTCTGGGGTGGGGCCTGCATTTCTAATGATGCTGATGCTGGAGGAACTTTGAATGGCAAAGCTGGAGAGCTTCAAGTCTCAGCAGGAGGATTTTGTCCCCCAGGGGACATTTGGCAATGTCTGGAAACATTTTCAAAGTACTACTGGCATCTGTAAGGAGCTCTGGTCGCATAATGCCTAAGGCACTTGACTGCTAACCAGAAGACTGGCAGTTCAAACCCACCAGCCACACCTCGGAAGGAAGGTTGGGCAATGTGCTTCCATACTGCCTAGGAAACCCAAGGAGGGGTCGCTATGAGTTGAGGCCGACTCGACAGCACATAACAACAACCACACTGGCATCTGTAGGGTAGAGGCCAGCGATGCTGCTAAAAATTGTACAATGCACAGAACTGTGCCCCACCACAAAAAGTCATCCTGGCCAAAATGGCAATATCCTGCCACAAAAATTCAATGCCAAGGTTGTGAAACCCTGCTGTCAAGCCAAATCTGTCCCTCAGGAAGAAGGGGTCAATGGGAGAGTGGCAGCATGGATATTGATTGTCATAATAACTAATGGATGTTTTCTCTCTCCCACTTATCTACACACAGGAGCCAATGCCTCGGCCCCAGACCAACTGAGCTTAGCTTTAGCCTGGAACCGGGTCGACATCGCTCGCAGCCAGATCTTTATTTATGGGCAACAGTGGCCGGTAGAGTATATGTCGTCCCCTCTAAAAAGCCCGCCTGCCTGGGCAAGGGTATTTGTTTAAAGAGCCTTTTGGAGAATCTCAGTCAACTACAGCCTTTTCTTTGAGATGGCAATGTCCCTTTTAAGCTCTAGCTCTAGCTTGGGGGTGGGGGACGGGGGGGGGGGGTGCTCCCTTTCTCATATTTAGGAAAATACTGCTACCTAGTGGAAGTTACAACAAAGCACAACTCCAAACCTTCTGAACATTTGCATGGACTGGTCGTTAATGTCAATTTTCACCTACAAATTAAGCCATTTCTTTTAATATGACTGAAAAAAAAAGATGAAAAAGTTGCATTTACTACAATTAAGGAAGGAGGGGAGTTATCCGTTTTTCTGGTGGTCTGTTGAAGAGGGAAAAAGGAAGAGGTTGCTGCTGCCATGTGATGCCACCCCGTGCTGGTTGATGGCTCGGTCACACCTCAGGAGGGCAATTTCAGCAGGCTTCAGCAAGCAGGTGCCATCTGGTCCTCACGGCTGAGCGCAGGCCCTCCCTATTCCCAAAGAACAGCACAGAATGAACCAAAGATTTATATAACTGTTCTTGGTTTGTTTCCCTCAATTGACTCTACCAAAAAGAAAAGCTTGGAGAAGTGGCTATGGGGTAGTGTATGCATGCATCCCCAGGAGACAGCCTGGCAGCTTGCAATTTGATTTTTGTGCCTGAAATCCCTGAAGGACACCACCAATCATGTGCAAGTCTTTTTTAACCCTTCCTTTTCCCTCCGAGAACTTCTGCCTGGGCTCGAGCATTTGTTTTCATTCAGAGCTAGCAAACTGCTAATACTAATTCTTCAAGAAAGCCAAGACATTTTTGAGGAAAAAAAAATTTAAAAGTAATCAGTGACAAATCCAGAAGATAAGCTGTTTTTTCTGTAGTTGCATGACAGCATCTTGCCTCCATCTTGTGTATTTCTCTAAGGAGACCCGGCATCTCTTTTTGGCCCTTTGATCTGTTTATTTGGGTGGCTCTTCCTGAGTCAGCCTAGCAGTATCAGCCTGAGGAAGATGAAAACAAAAACAGGAAAGTACCCACTACAGCCCTCACTGGTATTGCGTGTGGTCAAAGAGTTGGAAACATCATTCAAGCCCTTGCCGCTTTTCAGAATCCAAGAAACAGACTCAAGGAGGGAACAGCTTTCAGAACTAAAAATCTTTGCTTTTCTATTTTCAAAGACAGGGCCCAAATCATAGGAAAGGATATGGCAGTCTCAAAAGTGGAGCTGAGGAGAGTCTTGCTTACATGTTCCTAGATGTGCTGCAGCTTTACCAGGTGTCAGGGGCATCCATTTCTAAGCTATTCAAATGACCACCAAAGGACTGTATCCCTACACCCTAGAGCAGACTAAGTCAGTGACTTGATTTGCAGGTGGGGTCTCTGGAGCAAGCCATGTTGGATGCCCTAGTGCTGGACAGAGTGGATTTTGTGAAATTACTCATAGAGAATGGAGTAAGCATGCACCGTTTTCTCACCATCTCCAGACTAGAGGAATTGTACAATACGGTAGGGCCAACCTAAGGCATTTTTTTCTCTGTGTTTCTTGTTTCACCTTCTCCTCCCTCCTATGTGCCTGTGAACCTCCCCCCAGTTGCATGGATCCTCCCGCACAAGTACTCCCATGGCCTGCGTAGCCAACAAACACCAAGTCATCTGATTCCACTTGTTTTAGTTGCTCAGTTGTTAACATCTAAGGCAAAAGTTACATGATCACCTAAGGGAACTGTTCTCAGTTTCTTAGCACAAACCAAGCCTCTGGATTAGAATACAATCTATTCTGCAAACGCAGAGGGTATTAGAGGCAATTAGCAAAGGACAATTGATATCACTCTAAGCATCAAAGGGGGCTGACTAAGTATTTCACATCAATTTGTCATCCCAGAGCTCCGATCATTGGGTTTGCACTATAACAGAATAAAATGTAAAATATCTGTTCAAAGTTACTGAAAAGGATTTTTTAAAATTTATTTTGTAATGACATTAATTCACTCACCAGGGGGATGAGGCACTAATCCTAAGGAAAACTAGTATTTGTGAAGTTTTTCGAATTAGCAAATTAAGTGCCTTGGTTCTTAGCTAATCCTCACTGAAATCAAAATAAGTTTTAAAAAAAGAAAAGATTATTCTCTCCCATTTCACAGATGAAGGAACTGAGGCCAGAAAGGGAATTGGCTTGTTTAAGGTTATTAACCTCCTATGAAAGAAATCGGCACAAAAGCCAAGCTTCTGTCTCACAGATTCTTCTTCCCCTCATTTGTCACGATGCCTTTTTGTCCCACCACCCAGAGCACAAATGGGGTGGGGCTTATTGACCTGTCTCCAGGCAGTGTTGTTGTTGTTGTTGTTTAAATACAGTGCTGGATGGCACAGTGCTGCCTCTCTTACATCCCCCCTGCAGGAAGTAGAAAACAGGTTAGCAGGGTAGCTTCGGTTTCTGTTTATGCCACAGATTTTCCCTGGCCCAGCATACTGAGACTTTGAATAAGAATAATGGGGTTTTGGGGTGGGGGAAGTTGAATACTGAATCAAGAGAATAGAGTGATTTATTCCCTGATTGGGGAAAAAGGGGAGGAAGTAGGAAACTTTTAAATCACAAAAGACCAATAGCTTTCCTTACTCTAGTAAATTGATAGTGGTTCTCTGCAGTACTCTGTTGAGAAGGATTATGGGACTGTGAATGGCCCTAGTAGTAATAATCATACCTAACATTTGTTGAGCGCTAAGCACTGTTGTCATAGTTTCATATACATGTTATCATTTAATCTTCACAACAGCCTATCAAATAAGTCATATTATTACAGCCATTTTAAACCAAACCAAAAACCCACTGCCATCGAGTCAATTCCGACTCATAGTGACTCCCACCCATTTTCAAGATGCTAAAACCAAGTCAGGGAGATCTGGTAGCCTAGTGCCTAAGGCACTTGACTGCTAACCAGAAGGCTGGCGGTTCAAACCCACCAGCCACTCCTCAGAAGGAAGATGGGGCAATCTACTTCCGTAGTGATACTGCCTCAGAAACCCAAGGAGGGGTCGCTATGAGTCGGGGCCAACGGGACAGCACATAGCAACAACAAAACCAAGTCATAGGTAAATAGTTTGCCCATGGTCAGAGCCAGTAAACGGCAAAGCCAGATATGGAACCAGACTGACTGACTCCGGACGATGTGTGCTTAATCACTACACAATGCTGCATCCCCTCAATAGAAGAGGAATTTTGATGAGCATGTGTGCATGAATGGGTAAGTAGTTTAGACAGTACTCAGGGATTGGCTCAATACTTGAATGCATTGCAACACTGCTTACGGATTTGTCGTCACTGTTTTAGATCCCCCAATAAGATTGCCAGGTTTAATATATTGTAACATAGGGCACCCAGCTAAATTTGAATTTCAGGTAAACAAATCTTTTTTTTTTTTTTTCAGTATAAATAAATCCCAAATATTTCATGGGACATACTTATATTAAAAAATACTCATTGTTTCTAAAATTCACATTTAGCTGGGCATCTTATATCTGGCAACCCTATTCCTGAAAGACAAAAGATAGAAATCCATTTCACCTTATTCTTACCTCAACCAAGGATATACTTTTCCCCAAAACCTCTTTTCCCCTAATGACCTTTGGCTTTTTATTTAGACCAGGGGTTGGCAAATTACCATCTAAGGGCCAAATCTAGCCCATTGCCTCTTTATGTATGGCCTGCCAACTAAGAATGGTTTTCACATATTTTTAATTGTTGAAGCAGATAAAAAGAAGAAAAATACTTTGTGCCACATGAAAATTAAATTCAAATTTCCATGTTGTTAAATAAAGTTTTATTGGAACATAAACCAAAAAACAAACCCACTGCCATCAACTCGATTCCAAATCATAGGACCCTATAAGACAGAGTAGAACTGCCCCATAATATTCCCAAGACTGTAAATATTTATGGTGCATCTTTCTCCAGTGGAGCTGCTGGTGGGTTCGAACAGCAAACCTTTGAGTTAGCAGCCAAGCGCTTTAACCACTGTACCATCAAGTTTCCTTCCATATGGACTGCACAGCCTAAAATATTTACTACCTAACCTTTTATAGAAAAAGTTGGCCAACCCTTATTTAGAAGATTTCTCACTCATTATGGGTAATAAGTCATGATGACAATGTGCCAAAGTGTATTTCCAACTAGGTAAACTAGACCCTTTCTCTCCCCCTGCTGCAAAATTAACTCCTTTAACAATGCTTTGGCCAAGCTGCTAACTGAGTTGATGGTCCCCCTCCCCTACAAAATTTAAACCTAGAACATCAAATGCTTTTTCTTGAGGAAACGTAACTGCAAAATCTGCCAGTGTTTAGGAGAAACAGGTACAACTGAGCAACTAGAACAAGGTCCATCTTCTCAAAACACTGCCCCTCCACCAATTAGAACCCTTCCTTCCAGAACCTTCTTGCCTTGCCATCTAGAGCCCCTAACTAGCAAAACCATTTCATTCTTCTTTATTGCTTTCAGAGACATGGGCCCTCAAATACATTGTACCACTTGGTCAGGGATGTCAAAAAGGTAAGAACCCTCTTGACTGCAGGTCGGAGGCCCTGTCTTGACTGCTTCCTGTGATTAGAAACTGCCTCTGTTTTGCATGAGCTGCCAGGGTATTCCTCTCCTTGCCAGAACCCCCTCATCTCAGAATACAGTGTTACATGTGTGTGTGTATTTTAACTCTGACACCTCTGCTTACAATGCAGCTGTGGTTTTATCTCCAGTCGCTGTGGTTTTAGAAGCTTTTCTTGGAAATAATGCTTTGGATAGTGGAACACTGGCCTTTCCTCATGCCATGTGGATTTATGCCATTACTTGAATTTTTCCATATACCCCTCACTGTTTGGGAAGCTGTTTTCCACGCTGTCTGATTCACCATGAAAGGCATATTCATTTGCTGGCTCCTGATGCAATTTATCACTTTCAGTTCCATTGCACTGTACAGAGTGTAGTAAACATTGCTTAAATAATCTCAGAGAAACAGGGAATAAAACATGTGTATGCATTCCATTCTTCTAATACTTTATTCTTTCCCAGAATATTTTTTTCTATAAGTCTGGATTAAGTACAATGATTCCCATTTACCAGACGTGGAGGCTGAAACATAAGGAGGTGAGAGTTGTATTAGGTGGTTAGTGAGGAGCTAAAATTCAAGCTCAGATCCTTGGATTCCTAAGAATAAAATAATAATAGCTAACATTTAGCAATTCTAGGTGCCTGGAACTGATCTAAGCTTTCTATGCATCCTAACTCATTTAATCTTCACAATAACTCTGTGAAGTAGTTTCTATTATTATTTCCATTTTAGATGAGAAAAATGAGGCACAGGGAGGTTATGTTTAATCTTAGCTAAGTGCTGTTCTTTTGTCCCATACAATCTCCTGCGGAGGTAGCTTGGTTTCTGAACATTTTTCAGCATTTTCAGAAAGTGTTGCTTTAACTCCAAAAAAGACTAGATGGTAGCACTTCACCAGCCTCATACACACACACACACACACACACAAGAATGTGTGCATGCATACGTATACACATCAGCACCCCTTGTAGAAGTTCATCACCAAAGTCCATAGGACATATTCCAGAAAAGCTGCAAAGGTAGGTCAAAAATACAGTATGATTTCTTTATCTCATAGGAAGCCATTGCCTAAAACTGACCTTCAAGTGTCCTTTGGCTGCTTTTTTATTTGTGCTTTGAAAGGCCAATAAAAGCATCTTCATTGCTTAAAATGTGCCTTATTAACCTGCTGGACCTTTGCTAGAACAACAAAAGATGAAAAAAAAAAAAATACACAACTTCCTCTGTTGGACTTTGGAAACTCTCCTCCCATCTATAACTATATAACTCTATAACTATAACTCTAATGAGGGATTTTCCATCTAGATGCGTTAGTGAGATCTGTAGTTCTTCCCAAGGAAGGGAAACCTCCCGTGAAATCTCCACATCCAACCCAATAACCATTTTACCGAGACCACATCTTTCATTGGTTTGCCCACCTCAAGCCATAGTAGTACAGCTGCCCTCAACAAACCCATTTCTCTTTCCCACAGTCTTCCACTTTTGTTTAATTTATTTTGGCTTTAAAGTGCTTGGAAATTAAATGGAAAGAAAAATCTCAAAGGATTAAAAGTATACACATCCAATGTACACTCTTTGCCAAGGTATCTATTGCTCATGTTCAATACAATGTTTTGAGTTTTTCTGAAATAGTGAGTATTATCTTTCCCCTTCACCATAAGCTAGTTGGTGTCATGAAGGAAGTGTGAAATTTTCTAAAGAGATAGCTATCCCTTTGACCAATCCAAGCCTTCAAATAAAGTCACTCCCCAACCGCCACCCCACTCTGCCAGCAACACCTTCTCACCTGCTTGTCTAACACATTTTCACAGTTAGATGTCACTGAATATAGATGATCGAAATCCCTCTTATTAAGTCCTCTTCCCATAGGACTCTGCTTTGCGATATAGTTATCTCTTTTCTGAAATCCCAGTAACTGCCTCTTGCATTTACCTGCATCACTTGTAATAGAAGGCATGTAAAGTATTATTTAGGGTTTTATTTTGGGGGCAAGATGGGGGCCTTTTTAGTTGAATAGGTACCTTAAAAGTAATATAGACTAGCAAAAAAGAACAGAATGCTAAGGATTTGGGAAAAGGGACGGTATTGTTTTTTAATATGATCAAATTATTTGGCAAGAAGATACTTATTTACATATTCATTCTATACTAATTTAGTAGTTGGAAAAAATGATAGCAAATCACCCAGAATAGTAGTCAACTAGCCTAGGAACAATTTATCCTTTTCCCTGGGAAAACAAACTGCCGATAAATTGGGGAAAAATAGAAAGCCTATGTCTAGTTTCTTCCCTTTGAAGAGATAGGAGTAACAAATGCAGACTCCATGTATTTGTAGAGAAATAAAAGCGCCTGGCAATTGGAGAGCAAGACAGGATACAGCGGTCACCTAAAGAGCAGAAAGTGTCCAAGTGTCATACTACATGGATGAAGGGAGCTGAAAATGGAGGCTTTATTTTGCTTTGTCTTTTTATAAGAAAGGAATGAGAGGGAAATTGACATTGGTACACAACTCCATCAAATACATCCAGGTGACCCGGCAATCTAGTGGGAACTAGGTGCTAAATGCCAGGAAAATCTTGGGCAGTTACAATGATTTTCCAAACAATTCTTAACAGTGCTGTGTGCTTTAAAATTACAGAGCTTTTTATATGTATTAACGTACTTGACAAAAATTAATCAGGAAGAGGGAAACCCTGGTACAATATGCCATTCATGAGTTAGGAACTTTGAACATAGTTAGTGTTTGATAATATGTACATCTGATTAAATTTAAGTAACTCTTACTACCCAGGAGACAGATTTAGGAATTATCTATCAGACCATCGTAAATCAACTTCCAATGTGACACTTCCAAGTTCAACTATTCTTGGTAACCAACAGTATTGAACATGGAGAACTGCTCCCAAGTTGATTTCAAAATCTCAAATTATCTGTGTCAGGGGAGCAGTCTAGGAGCAATGAGGCAGAAGAGTTACTATTCTACATCCATCAGAAATTTAAATGGATATAAACCAACGCAATTCCCTGACCTGTCTTCATGCATAAATCCATTGAACGTCCCTATGCGCTCACATTAAATCAGAGTGGCCGAAGTCTGTCTGCTTTTCTGTGAAATAGAACCTGCCATTTTAGTAGCTGAGTGTCTGCTCAATATGTGCCTCTGTATGTTTTAAAGTAGTTTTCTTTCTTTCTTAAATTAAATGTGCTAATACTTTAGATTACTTATACTGATTCTTCCAATCAAAGGAGGGTGATTTTTGAGTATTATGTAGAAGTAGTGGAGAAATTATGATAATTTAAAGTTCATTTACATGGGAATCAAGAAAGAGCTTTGCAGAATGCCCCCCCCCCCCAGAAAAAAGGAAGAAGAAGAAATAAAAGCATTTCTAGAGACTTTGGGTAAAGAAAGGACGATTTCATAATCCCATCTGCTAAATTCATGCAAATTTGTAAAAATATTCTGTCTTTAAAAAAGTGATTGGCCTGTCTAGTAGCATGCTGATCCACCAAAGACTGGGGTCACGTCCTCTTTTCCCACGGATTTTCACCAGCCCCTACCAGATGATTGTCCATACCAACTACAGTCCACTTTTCCTTTCTTATAAAGCCGTCCCAGGGAGTCCCTTCTGTACTCTCTTGGCAAACCTGACAATCCGCAATCTGTTTCAACTTTACACACCATCAGAAACACCTTGTTTTGAAAACTTGCTGCAAATTGCAAAGAAAAACTGTTCTTAAATGGCTGAAAGCTGATGGTGGTATCATGAGCAGACATTTGCAAAACAATCTTCATTTTGAAGAGAGGATCTAATAAGTCAATTTAAACTGTTCTTTTAAGGAAAAGGCATCCTTAGGATTGACACGTAAATGTTCAGGATTAAAATTTAGGTACTTGGCTAGCAGTTCATAGCAGGAAAAAGGAAATGACATTTTCAATTTGTCAGGTTGCACCCACCCATAAACCAAGCCTTTCCTTTTTACTGTGTGGATCAAATATTTCAGCTGCACGTTTAACCATGTGATGCAAAGGCCTGAAGTGGGAAGCAATTGTTCGGACTTTACCAATATGTTCATACCAAAATAATTAGCACAGGGGAGTAGATAATAGAAGTACCAGGCAGAAGGGACTGTTACTCCAGTATCGTTGTTTCATTGATTTCTAATCTGAAAAGGACCCGAGTAAAGGAAGACTCCTCCAGAAGGTTTTTGAACATTACCTGTTGGTCAGCATGGTGCCGTTCACCTCTGCTCTTTACAGAGGAGGTGTGGGACATAAGCACAACCTCATTCCTATCTCTCCCTGTGCCACGCCTTTCTCCACCAACCAAACCCTAGATGCTAACTGGAAACTAGATCAACGCTGGGAGCTTGGGAGAGGGCTCTTTGCCCAATGACCTGGAAGCATAGAAATGTGAGCACCTGCCAGGTCATGGTCATATAATAAGACCTTTACAAATAGGACCTTAGGAGCCACTATATCCAAACCACTAATTGTCAGAGAGTTAACTGAGGCACAGAGAAAGGAAGTCCAGGGTCACATGGGCCTAGGGCTAGGGCTACAGTCCAGCCCAGTGCTGTTTCCACCTTGGGGTAACATTGTTGGCTGTTCTCTGCATGAGCAGTCATAGGTTCCCAGCAATGCTGGTCATAGGAGAAGCAGCACGCATGCACCATGTGTGACATGAGCAGGCCACAGGTGATCAAAGCCATGGGCTCGACATCCCAGAAATGTGCCAATGCTGCCTTCCTCTTTAAAATCTAACCAGGACACAGTTATCCAAAGAAGGCCTACATTGTGCCCAATTTTATTCATTTTGAAAAATCTATTTCTTCTTCCGCAAAAGGTTTCATACTTCCTCATAACAGATTTAAAATTAATGTCCCTTGATTTCTCTGCTCCCCAAATCAGATACAATCAGACTTGCAGGCTGAGTACAAACATATTACTTGATAAGGAGAGCTCTGGATACCACTTCAACAAGAGCATCTGACTCTCCCCCTGTCCCCAAGTCGCTCTGAATTTGTTTTTCTAGCCTTGTTATACAATAAAACCCTTACAACAGGCAGGTGGATGCTGGGGACAGGGGCTCTCATTGGCCTCCACTAGGTGAACAGTGCCCCCTTGTGATCAAACAATGCAGGCACATGGAGAGAGATTCCTCTCAGGCCTTTCCTCAAAGCTCCGTAGAGTCCAGAATGGTCACAAATCCTTTCTCCGGAGTTTGACCAGGCTGGACATAAATAGTTCTAAAATAATCAAGCTTTATTTGAGTGGTTTCCAGAATAGAGGGATCCGAGCACCTTTCTGGCAACATGTCTCCCTAAAAGTCCTTTATAAATAAAGGCTTTGCTAAAAACGTTTTATTTGCCCCTTTTAAATTTTTATTTATTTTTAATTTTACTATTTCTTATCAGTCTCCTGAAAACTCCTATGCTTACAGCCACCTAAAAAGCATACACATTGCCATTCAATACTGGCCTTCAGGCAATATTGGTGTTTTGTTCCTAGAAATCAACTGATCTCTCACACCTGTTGTTGTTGTTATGTGCCCTCGAGTCAGACCTGACTCATAGTGACCCCTCCTTGGGTTTCTGAGGCGTTATTGCTAGGAAGTAGATTGCCCAACTTTCCTTCTGAGGAGTGGCTAGTGGGTTTGAACCACCAGCCTTTTGGTTAGCAGTCAAGTGCCTTAGGCACTATGCTACCAGAGCTCCTGACACTCACACCTAGGTTTCTCAAAAGAAAATATATAGCCAGTCATTAGGCTCACAGATGTTCACATTTTAAATCTAGAAAATTATTACAATATAAACAGTAAACGCAAATTCATGGACTTGTCTTTCAACAGTATCACAGTGAATCCTTCAGGGATTTTTTGTTAGCCTGGTACTTGAATATTACAAACCATACAGGCAAGTTCAACCTAGAGAAAGAAACTGAGGGAAGGTGGCTAATTAGTAGAGGATAGACAGAAGCCAGGTCAGCAAACTCGAGAGTTCTTTATTCTTCCAGCCTTACAGTGCCAGGGAAAAGAAGGCAGCTGGGCTAAGTCACCTCTGTTGGGCATCCTTACAGGAGCCAAGTGTAGATGGGACCAGGCTGAACTGGGCACCTCCAGACTCTTGGACGCTTCTGCTTTTTAAATAACATCCTTGCCTAACTGTTGGGTAGAGCCAGAGGTATAGAAGCCTTGGCCTTATTAACCTGACCCTACATAAGGGAAAAAAGTGGTTATGTGGGTATCAAGGAGCTCTGGTGGTACAGTGCCTCAGGTATTTGACTGCTAACCAGAAGGTCCATAGTTTAAACCCACCAGCACCTCTGTGGAAGGAAGATGGGGCAGTCTATTTCCATAAAGACATACTGCCTTGGAAACCCAATGGGGCTTGCTATGAATTGTAATTAACTCAATGGCAGTGAGGTTGCATGGGTAATAGTTTTACATTCAGCTAATTTTGATGAAAGGCGAAATACCTGAAAAGCTACTACCTTAAAAAGAAAACGTTCTTTAAGTTCTCTTTTTCATAGTTTTACCATGCTTACATAGAGAAGTCAGACAACTGGTCTTTCTTGATAGGCTGAGGAGAGCTGAACGTGCAGATTCTGTTATATTGATGAGATCATCTTCAAACAAAGGAGATTTTGAAATTCTGAGAAGGGCAGGGACAGGGACGGAGACCCTTTTTGTGAAGGAGCAAATCAGCTAAGGAAACAGCTCTTGGACTGGATTCTGATCAGCCAAATCCACAGATAGGGGTGTTCTATGCACCAAAGTACTTCCACTTTGTGTATCATCTATATGATGCCATTCATGTGGCTCTATTTTGCTCAGCTGCCTCAATGTAGATCTCTAAGCCCACCTTGTGCCCCAGGCCAAGGGCAGAAGCAAATGTAAGGCAGTGGGCAGAGGGGGGAGCTAAGTCGAAGGACAGCAAAAAGTCTAAAGAGCAGCCGTGGGATCCCCCACCTAAAGGCTAGAATTTCAACCACTATCCCTCCAATCCTACCCTGCTGAGAACAGCCATTAAATTCCAGATACAGCAATACCAAAGTCAGATTTTCACAGTGAACCATGGCGATCCCAGCCGGGGGTGACTAATAAACTGGATATTTAGTTCTGTTCCTGAGACCCTAAAGCTAAAAAGCCCAAACCCACACTTGATCCCACTCCACATCAAATAATTTCAGTTTTATTCATTCACAATTTCATATATATACATATATCCTAAGGCACTTGACTGCTAACCAGAAGGCTGGCGGTTCACCAGCCACTCCTTGAAAGGAAGATTGGGCAATCTACTTCCGTAGTGATACCGCCTCGGAAATCCAAGAAGGGGTCGCTATGAGTCGAGTCCGACTCAATGGCAAACAACAACAACAACAAATATATATCCAAAACCAAACCAAACTCACTGCCATCGAGTCAAACCTTCCTATGGAAGTAGATTGCCCAACCTTCCTTTCAAGGAGTGGCTGGTAGGTTTGAACCACCAGCCTTCTGGTTAGCAGTCACATACCTTAGGCACTAGGCCACCAGAGTACACATATTATATTCATATTCTCACATATCAGGCACTATGAAAAGTACTAGGAATCCAAAGATAGATAAAACAACTTAAAAAAATAGAAAGATTTTAATGATAGGACACAGTTTAATGATACATTTTAGGATACATTTTAATGATAGGATAACCCTGCACCCCACAAAAGCTTCAACTGGGACCTCCATTAAGGACACGCCTCTACAGTATACCTCTCAGGACACAGTGCACAGACATCATAAATATTGTGACACCACAGCCTTCATAGTACCAAGGACTCTCCTGAACGAGGAACTAAACCAGAGGCAGGGAGTTAATCAATCATGCTCTTTTGAATTCACTGAGATCTTAGACTTTCCCACACATGGAGCAAGTCCCCTTGACCTAACAGAGGAAAAGATTGTACCAAAAAGCAAACAGACAAAGCCAGCTGCCTTCCAGTTGGTTCAGACACATGGTGACCCACTTGTCAGAATGGAACTGTGCTGCACAGAGTTTTCGAGGCTGTGACTTCTCAGAAGTCAATCACCAGGCCTTTCTTCAGAGGTGCCTCTGGGTCGGTTTGAACTGCCAACCTTTCCGTTAGTAGTTTGCACCACCAGGAGACTCATTAGAACCTAGAGAGCTCCCTTTTGAAATAAAAATCAGTAATAAATAGATAATAATAATAAAACTACTGAGCCCTTGTCAAGGAACCTGGTGGCACAGTGGTTAAAGTATTTAGTTGCTAACCAAAAGGTTTGGCTGTTTGAACCCACCAGCCACTCCATGGGAGAAAGATGAGGCAGTTTGCTTCTGTAAAGATGTACAGCCTAGGAAAGCCTCTGAGCAGTTGTTCTTCTCTGTCCTATAGTTGCTATGAGTCAGACTCAGACTGGATGGCCATGGGTGGGTAAACCAAAAAAAAAAAAAAAAAAATCCCAAACTTATTGCAGTCCAGTCTATTCCATGCATAGTGACCCCTCCTCGGATTTTCAGGGCAGTATCTCTACAGTCATTGTTGTTGTTATGTGCCGTAGAGTCGGACTCGACTCATAGTGACTCCTCCTTGGGTTTCCGAGGCAGTATCACTACGGAAGTAGATTGCCCCATCTTCCTTCCAAGGAGTGGCTGGTGTCTTTGAACTGCCAGCCTTCTGGTTAGCAGTCAAGTGCCTTAGGCACGGTCATAGGCCTTATAAAAAAAAAAACCTTTCCGTGTTTGCATCTTATATGGTAAACAGCTAGAACGCACACAACCTCTACATATCTTTCAAAAGTATTGTTCTCTTCAAAGAATGTATGAAAACTCTCCTTAATTCTGGAAAAATATTCTACTGATAATATTTCTTCTACTCTCCCTCCTTTCTCTTTAAATTCAGATTTTCTTATACCACTTCATCCTGTCACCCCAAATCCCTTCCCAGACATTCTTCTGCCTTTATGAAAAGGTGTCATATCGGTGTCCCACCAGAGGCAGACCCTGGTAATAACAACCACCATCTTCTGGAAGAGTCTTCATTGAATGGGTGACAGGAAATCAATTATCAGCAGGAGGGTGGAGCCAGGCCTAGGTCAGGACCAGAGCAGACCCAAGCGCAGAGGGACTTCAGGAAACCTTATTTGTAGTGGGTGGAGTGGTCGCATTTGCCATGTCTAGCCTTGTGTTTCTTTCTGCTACGCTGGTGTTTTTTTCTCCCCAGCTGAAGACTTGAATAAATATTTTGACGTAATTTTCTGTTACTGCCGACGATTACTGCATCTTCTTATTTAACTTATGTCTTCTTTCCAAGCGAGAATATCCAGGTTTCGGTTGGATCTATTTTAAGGTGAATTGATTAACCCGCCTAATAATACATTCATATGTTTCTTTTTTTTTTTTTTTTTCTATTATGTTTTTTACTCTAAAATACTTACAGAACACATGGAGCGGAGTCCCTAGTAAACCACGTTGTCTTTTGGATCTGTGTGTTTGTCTGTTCGTTTCGTTCTTCCCTGGATAGGGGAACCTGCCCCCGGACTACAGGATCAGCCTGATCGACATAGGCCTGGTGATCGAATACCTAATGGGAGGGGCTTACCGCTGCAACTACACGCGCAAGCGCTTCAGGACGCTCTACCACAACCTCTTCGGCCCCAAGAGGGTGAGGCTCACCACTGTTTTCTAGGCTCCTCCTGAGAGGAGGGTACAAAAGATTACAGAGAGATTGAGGGTGTGGCTTCCCTCGTCCAGGTGGAGATACAGGAGACGGAGGCATCCAACCCTCCCCTTCCTTTGCCATCACATCCACTTAAAATTAATAATACAGGAATGCATTCGGTGAAGAAGAAAAATGTGTTGTTTTTTTTTTTTTCCCCACTAGGTCCAATTCGAATAAAAAGCACTGAGAGAATAGTAATGAAATCAAGTTAATCTTACTATCTCACTCAGCAATATCCAAGTATTTTACTCTTAGATCTATTTATAGATCTTTAAAGATTATTGACGACCTCACAGAATTTTTATCTTTATGAGTTCGTTTATCTCACAAATAACAATATTTACCATATTAGAAATTAAAATTGATAGTCATTGGGTGGTGCCCAACGTCAAACGGTCAATGTGTTCAGCTGCTAGCCAAAGTTTGGGGTTCAAGTCCACTCAGAGGTGCCTTGGAGGAAAGTCCTGAAAATCTACTGCCTAAAAATCAGCCACTGAACACCCTCGGGAGCCCAGTTCTACTCTGATACACACAGGGTTGCCATAGTCAGAGTCAACTTGACAGCAACTGACGGTGGTGGTGGTAGTAGGAGAAGATATTTATAAATTCATTTAAAATAACAGTACCAAGTCTGTTGCATGTTAAGATAAATAGCATGTTTATGAAAAATAATATCTTCACTAAAATAACAAATTGGGGATAAGAGTAGCACTGTTTTGCATTTTTGCCAATTCCTTTAATGTGTGGCTTAATAGAAGACAACTGCGTTCAGTCTATTGCAAAAATGTTGTTTTAGTTGAAATTTATGAAGAAACTCTGGCCTCACACAAATATGTAGTTGGAAAAGGAAGGGTTATTTTAATAATCCTTACAGGTGATTGTTGATACTCTTCTTTTGTAAAACCAAAACCAGTTGCTATCAATTCGATTCTGACTCCTGGTGACCCACTATGGGTCAGTAGAATCAATCCATAGGGCTCTCATGGTTGGGACCTTTCAGAAAGAGGTCACCAGGACCTTCTTCCAAGGCACCCAGGGTGAGTTCAAACCACCACCCTCTTGGTTAGTAGCACAGCACTTAACTATTGGTGCCACCCAGTCATCTCCCTCTTCTTTGATAACTCACTGCCATTGGGTCAAATCTGACTCACAGTGACCCTCATTGGGTTCCCAGGGTTGTAAATCTTTACAGAAGTAGATTGCCCCATCTTCCATCTGCACAGTGGCTGGTGGGTTTGAACTGCTGACCTTCTGGGTAGCAGCCAAATGTCTTATCCACTACACCACCAGAGTTCCTTTCCTCTTCTTTGATACTCACTGCCACTGCCATCAATTCCATTCTGACTCATAGCGACCCCTCCTTGGGTTTCCAAGGTGGTATCTCTACGGAAGTAGATTACCCAGTCTTCCTTCTGAGGAGTGGCTAGTGAGTTTGAACCACCAGCCTTCTGGTTAGCGGTCCAATGCCTTAGGCACTACGCCACCAGAGCTCCTTCTTCTTTGATAAAAACCAAAAACACCGAACCCACTGCCATCGAGCGGATCCCAACTCATAGTGACCCCTCCTTGGGTTTCCAAGGCAATATCTCAATAGAAGTAGATTGCTCAGTCTTCCTTCCAAGGAGTGGCTTACTATACCCAAATTCAACAAGTGGTAATCTTAAAGATAAATTGCAATGTGAAATCTGACACCATACCAATAAAATTTTCTGATTCTGCTACATTAAAATATTTTGGTCTATCTTGTACTTCATATGAATCTTACCATGAATTGATCATTGGAAAATATTGGTTCATTGAGTTATGCAAATCTTCCAAATGTTGGCCCATTTCATTATATGATATTGAAAAATCACATTCATCAGTATTACCTCTAATCTCGGCAGAGGTGATAGTAAGTACTGAGAACCTGTCCATGTGATCATGGGAAATACAAGATTAACAAAATTCTTGTTTTTGCCTGAAAGTTTGTATGTTGTCGTTGACAACAAATACTCTTGTTTTCCTTGAAATGATAGCCTCACTTCATTCATTTCCAAAAATCTGCAAAATGTCCAAATCTAAATAACCATCATTTGTCTGCCAGTCATTTCTTCAAGGAAAAAATATTTCATGAAAAAAGTGGCTAGTGCAATTCAAACAACTACTTAAATGCTTATTCTCAGGACAACCCATCGCAGTTCAGCAGGTAGCAGAACTTAATGCCCACTTCCCATTTTATCCCTCAGACTATCAAAAAAGACATGTAGTTAAGGGTTATTGTTATTGTGTCCCATCAAGTCAATTCCAACTCATTGTGACCCTAATGGACAGAGTAGGACTGACTGCCTCATAAGGGCTCCTAGGATGTAATCTTTACAGGAAGGAGTCCTGGTGGCACAGTAGTTAAAGTGCTCAGCTGCTAACAAAATATCAGCAGTTCCAACCCACCATCTGGTCTGTGGGAGAAAGATATGGCAGTCTACTTCCATAAAGATTTATAGCCTTGGAAACTCTACAGGACAGTTCTATTCTACTCCTACAGGGTCACTGAGTCAGAATCGACTCCATAGCAAGAGGCTTTAATCTTTACTGGAACAGATCACCAGGTCTTCTCTCCTGAGAAGCAGATTTAGATTGGGTTAGCAGCTAAGTGGTTTACCATTGTACCATTAGGGTTTCCTGTAGACAAAGGTAGAGACTAAATAAAGTTAATAATTTGTATGCCTTATCAAGGACATTCTTAAGTGGATCTGATGTACAGTGTGTGTGTGTGTGTGTGTGTGTGTATGTGTGTGTGTGTGTAATAACAGAGAAGAATCTAATGACTACTAATAAAACTGCCTTTGTCACACTGAGACACCCAGAAGTTTTACTCACCATTGCTTTTGCATCACTGGTGCAAATGTTAACATAGTATAAAAAGTAAATAATATCTTAATATAATTAATGAAAATAGTTATCACTTCACAGACCCCCTGAAAGGGTTTCCAGGACCTGCACGGTTCAAATTTTGAGAACTGCTGCTCTCATTGGTGGCAGGCATGGTTTGTTATTGTTGCTTTTTATTTTAACAAAACATATCTTCTGATTATGACAGTCTTTTGTTGTACTACTAATAGAGAACTTTAAGAGCACCAAAAATTATAAATAAAGAAAACATCACACAAAATTTAACTGTTGGCATTTTCAAAGCTGAAAGAGAAGCAAATCAAGAGAGGCTAGGTTCAAGCTATTCAAACTTGCATGAGCAAGCAAAATTTGGAGGAACTGGAGGCTCGGCAGCCTTACTATTTACACACGTAACTTTCAAGATGGTGCCAACCCATTCTATAACAGTTAAAAATAAGGAATTGGTATTCTTGAGCTCTGCTATGTAATTCCATAGTGATACTGCCTTGGAAACCCAAGGAGGGGTCACTATGAGTTTGAACCAGCTCTACGGCAGTGAGTGAGTGAGTGAGCGAGTGACTTGCTAAGTACAAATCTAGTTCTGTAATTTCTGTCTTTGGTGCCTGTCTGTCATATTCCCAACATGGCCAATCGTGCTGACACTTCCCATGCCATTGAGCACCTTCTGTCACCACCAGAACATGCCCTTCTGTCCCCACTCACCCTTGCTCTCCTAGGGAGATGGCTAGCAAGAGGCATCTAGCTATTTCTGAAAAATATCCCAAGTCTCCAGATAATGGAAGTTCTTCAGAGGTTTGAGAAATGTCTGATGGTTTGAGTGAACATTTCATTGTTCTCCCAAGCAATTGGTGTCATGGAGCTGTCAGCCAACACGAATGGTCATAAGAAGACGAAGGAAGTCTTAGTCCACAAAAGAGACCGTAAGCCTGCGAGCTCTATCCTTAGGAAGTCTCCTTATGCCTCTCTAGCTTCCTGGGGTCCCTGAGTAGTAGAATCGGCTTACACTTGAATGTTGTTGTTGTGTGCCCTCAAGTTGGACCTGACTCATAGTGACCCCTCCTTGGGTTTCTGAGACAGTATCACTATGGAAGTAGATTTCCCCATCTTCCTTCTGAGGAGTGGCTGGTGGGTTTGAACCACCAGCCTTCTGGTTAGCAGTCAAATGCCTTAGGCACTACGCCACCAGAGCTCCCTAAATGTTGCCAATCCAAACCCATCCAGTGGGACCACGGAAGAAAAGGCCTGGCAGTCTGCTTCCATAGATTATAGCAAAAAACAAAAACCACCCTCTGGAGCAGTTCTACTTCATAACACATGGAGTCACCATGCATTGAAATAGTCTCAACAGCAACTAACAACACAACAGCTTCCTCATATTCTGATTCACCAAAATCCTCAAATCCCTAATTCTCTTAGAATTTCTATAGTTTCCCTTTATGGTGTTTTACTTGGTGAAATGTGTAAATGTTATAGCACTTAAGTACACTACAATTAGGTACAATTTAGGCACAGTGGAATCCTTGTATTGACTGTTAAAGATATATTAGGATTCATTTCTTACTTCTATGAAAAAAGATCTAACTAAGTTCACGGCATTTATTTTTTTTCTTAAACAGCCCAAAGCCTTGAAACTGCTAGGAATGGAGGTAAGTGTTTGCTCAAATTATTAGTGTCAATTATTCATTCTCATTCTTGCATACTTTTTTAAAATACCTATTAAAGTTCATTTCAGTGTTATGGATTAGGACATGCATTTAAATAAGAAAATAAAATTTTCTCAAGTGTCGAGAAGGCAAGTCACAGTACTTTGAAAATTCCACCAGGAGGTTATGTTAGCATTGTAAACAGGAATTAAATCCTATTTGAAATACTAACTTGAAAATCAAGGAAGCATATAAATTCCAGTAAGTGAAATCTATTCATGGCTTTTTGCAAATGGCAACAGATCCAAACACCAGAACTACTTCACAAGTGCACCTGATAGATATGCAGAAACTTGAGATAGGTTGTCTGCTTCCATTCTTTTGTTCATGTGGTTATTGTCATTTATGCAAATGCAAGTATAGAATGTCCTTGCCCTTTCGATGAAAAGGGTAGAGCTGTCCATCTGAGATACAAGTAACCCTACCTGTGGAGAGGGGGAAAAAAAAAGGACAATAGAAAAATAAAATGGCCCATCAGGAAAAATATTTTAAGTTAAAGTATAACACAGACATGTTCCCATAGAACTGTGCTTAGATATTTGTTATAACTTGTTTTAAAGTTAGGCATGTATGTGTCTGTGAGTTCTTTGAGAATAGGAGCTGGCCTACTTCATTTCTGTGTGTATACCACAGCTAGGTCAGTAGTAGATATATGATAACTACTGGCTGTATTGAACTGATTCATTTCTAACTCAGCATCTATGGTGTGTCCCTAAAATTACAGGATGACGTTCCCTTGAGGCGAGGGAGAAAGACAACCAAGAAGCGTGAAGAAGAGGTGGACATTGATTTGGACGACCCTGAGATCAACCACTTCCCTTTCCCCTTCCACGAGCTGATGGTGTGGGCTGTCCTGATGAAGCGGCAGAAGATGGCCTTGTTCTTCTGGCAGCATGGTGAGGAAGCCATGGCCAAGGCCCTGGTGGCCTGTAAGCTTTGCAAAGCCATGGCTCACGAGGCCTCCGAAAACGACATGGTCGACGACATCTCTCAGGAGCTGAACCACAACTCCAGGTTGGCCACCTCAGCAAATGGAATGGGTGGTCAGGGAAAGAGAGGAGAAGATGGGCCTCAAATCCTTGAGGGTCTGAGCTGCCCAGAGCTTTAAGGGAAGGCAGTATTATCCCAATGGTACACACAGAGGGTTCCAGTTTTCAGCCGCCATCAGGTCAATTCCAGCTCATGACAACCCCATATGGCAAGGAGTGGAATTGTTTTCTTAGCTGTGCCCTGTCAGAATCAGATCTCAAGGCCTTTTTTTCCAAAGCACCTCTGGGTAGGTCCAAACCACCAACCTTTAAGTTAATAGCCAATGTTTAATGGTTTGCACTATCCAGGGACTCCACCCAGAAGGTGGACATGAATAATTAACGTGTATTGGGCATAGTGCTACATAAGGAGGTACATAAAGGTACATGGGTGATCTCATTTCATCCTTTCAACTACCACTAAGAAGTAGATACTATTATTATGTATAATTTATAGGTGCAAAAATATGAGGCTTAGAATATAAGTAACTTCTCCAAGATCATACGCTTATGATTGACAGGGCTGGAATTTGAACTGAAGGCTGTTACTTTTAAGGAGATATACTGTACTCTAACCACTGACCTACTAGTCTGCCTCCCCCATGCATTGAATTGAGGGCCTTGAGAACAGGGATTTTGCCTTATTTGACTTACACACCCAATCTAAACACAGTATCTGTACTTGAGTCAGGTACAACTCATGGTGACTTTACATATAACATAGCAAAGCATTGCCTGGTCCTGCATCAACTTCATGAGCATTGGTATGTTTGAGTTCATTGTTGCAGCTATCGTGTGGTGCCTTCCAACCTAGGGAGCTCATGTACCAGCACTATATCGGACAGTATTCTATTGTGATCCACAGGGTTTTCATTGATTCCAGAAGTAAAGCACAGGACCTTTCTTCCTCGTGTTAGTGTGGAAGGTCCTCTGAGGCCTGGCTGCCACAGGTGACTCTGCTAGTCTTTCAAATACCAGTGGCAGAGCTTCTACCATCATAACAACATGCAACCCACCACAGTACAGAAAACTGACAAATGGGTCGTGGATCTGGCCCCTATGGTTTGTGATGTGGAACTGAGTCAATTCTGCCTCATAATGACCCTAATAGGGTTGAGTAGAACTGTTCCATAGAGTTTGCTAGACTGCAATCTTTACGGAAGTGGATTGCCAGTTTTTTTCTCCCATGAGATAGCTGGTGGGTGTGAATCTCCAGCTTTTCAGTTAGCAGTCAAGTTTTTAACCATTCTTTTATCTGGTCCATTAAAAAGGAGAAAAAAAAATAAAAAAAAACACTGTCATTGATTCTGACTCATAGCAACCCTATAGGACAGAGGTGAACTGCCCCATAGGGTTTCCAAGGCTGTAAATCTTTATGGAAGCAGAGTGACTCATCTTTCTCCCACTGAATGGCTGGTGGGTTTGAACTGATGACCATTTGGTTAGCAACAGAATCCTTAGCCACTGCACCACCAGCGCTCCCCCATCTGGTATATACATATATGGTTCATAGTAGATGCTTAATAACCCCATAAGGAACCTACACCACACCCCATTCAGCAACCACCTTTTGTGGCTTGGCCCATGTGTTCCCATTTCCATCATCTACGTCTCCAAGCAGGTCTGAAGGACTCCTCCACATGTTCTCTCTTTCAGGGACTTTGGCCAGCTGGCTGTGGAGCTCTTGGACCAGTCCTACAAGCAGGATGAGCAGCTGGCCATGAAGCTGCTGACATATGAACTGAAGAACTGGAGCAATGCCACATGCCTGCAGCTTGCTGTGGCGGCCAAGCACCGTGACTTCATTGCGCACACGTGCAGCCAGATGTTGCTCACTGACATGTGGATGGGCCGGCTCCGGATGCGCAAGAACTCAGGCCTCAAGGTCAGCACACCCAGAAGGCCCTACTGGCTACCATGAGGGACAGAGGGTGTCTTGGAGTTTTCAAACCAAATCTGTAATGGCACTGGGTACTCTCCTATCTCAGGAGGGGATTCTAGACCCAACTGTGCATCCGAAGCTTCTGTGTTAGCATTTTTTAAACATAGTGGCAAGGGCTTCCCCAAGTCCTGCTAAAGTCCAACAGGCATGTGGAGTCCAATATAGTGACGGTGCCTAGACATTAAATTTTTAATTTTTTTAAAAATTTTTAGTACACTTTAGTTCTTCAAGCAGTTTCAGGTTTACAGAAAAATTGAGCATAAAATACACATAATTTCTCCTATTATTAACCGCTTACATTGGTGGGGTACATTTGTTAGAGCCAATAAGCTAATATTAATACATTATTATTAACTAAAGTTAGTAATAATAATTAGTTAATACTTTATTAAGTCCATACTTTATTTTACAGTTCACTCTTTGTGTTATATAACTCTCTACCTTTTGAGAAATGCATAATGCCACGTGTCCACCATTGTAGTATCATACACAATAGTTTCACTGCCCTAAAAATGCCTCGTGTTCCACTTATTATCCCTCTCCTCCCTGCCCTGACCCCTTAGCAATATGGGGTCAAAAAGGACCCCTTGCCCTTTTTACTGTCTCTCAAGTTTTGTCTTTTCCAAAACGTCCTATAGGTGGGATCAAATAAAATGTAGGGGTTTCAAACTGACGTCTTTCAGTTAGCAATATGCATGTCAGGTTCCTCCATGTCTTTCTACGGTTTAAAAACTTATTTATTTTTATCACTGAATAATATTCCATGGTATGGAAATTGCTTGCTGAAAATAAAGAGGACTTGAAGCACTAATTGATGAAGATCAAAGACTACAGCCTTCAGTATGGATTATACTGCAACTAAAAGAAACAAAAATCCTCATAACTGGACCAAAAAGCAACATCGTGTATAGCTTTTGCTTTTTGTTTTCTTTTCTCAATATTTTCCAAATAAAAACTTAAACTGAAAGAAGTAAACACAGAAAAAAATTGTGAGGAGAAAGATTAAAAAATAAACATGTAAATGCTGTATCTCTTTAGAGTTTGTGGCTGGTTACAATTTAAAACCACCACGCTGAGTCGAGTCCTGGTTCTACTTGTCAGGTGAACCACGCTCCATAAGGTTTGCAATGGATGACTTTTTAGAAGTGACCCCCAGACCTTTCACCTGACATGCCTCTGGGTACATTCAGACCTCCAAATTTTCTGTTAGCAGCCAAGTTCATTAACCATTTGCACCCACCAAAGACTCCTATTTTAACTTCAGCGGGACTCAAATTTACTTGATCTGGGCAACGCTGAGGTCAGCCCAACTCTGAGGTCAGACTATCCACCAGACAGGTGAATGCCCAAGGCCACCCTGATAAGTCAGCATCTCTCCTCTACTCCCTGGCCCTCTCACAGTTGTGTACCCTCTCTTGGCCCAGAGCTACAGAAGCTACAGAAGCATCCATGAAGTGTGTCACAGGCATTCTATAGCCATCCTGCTAGTGACTTCAAAGCCCCATCTCAGACAGGGAGCCAAGCCAGGCCTCCAGCAATGAGGACAGGGTGCCATGTCCCTTGAAGGCTGCCAGGCCGGCATCTGAGCCTTCCCAGGCCTGCTGGACATCCACCATTCAGGGTCACCCTTTTCCCTTAGCTTCTCTGGAGTCCCCGTGAACATTTGAGCATGGGCTGTCCCTACTTCATTATGGGAAGATCATCCTGAGTGACCCTCCCTGGCAAAGGAGGAACAAGATTGCCCTCCCTTGAGAGGGGCCTAGGGATGTAGTGCCATCACATGGAGAGTTAAGCACATTGTTAGTATGTGAGAGAAATACTGCGCCGGCCCCTCCTGGGGTGTTTGTGCAGGGCTGGGGGTGGGGACGATACTCATAGTGAATACTCATAGTGCGTTGCTGTTGTGTACTAGCACATGACAGGGACAGACTCTAAAATTAATAACATGTTTTCCTATGTGTACTTTCTCAAGGTCAATTTAGGGCAGCTTTTTTTTTTATAGCAATAACCAGATGACACATAATCAGCCCCACTTGACACATTAACAAATAAATGCCTGTGGACATATGTTCGAATTGATTTCACAGCCAAAGTCAAGTGCTCTCTAATGGTTAGATGAATTCTTTCCCACTCTTGCCTTGGGTAAAAGTACCTGGTCTCTCTTTTTTTTTCTCAGTGTTCCTCCCCACCCCCCTTGCAAAGTGTTTAATTGGGTAAAATGCATTTGGGCTAAATGTTTGGTTTCTCCAAATGCAGCTTGAACCACTACTGTGCATAACCTCTCTCCCAGCTGGGCAGAACTGACTGTCTCTGTATCAATATGTTTAGTCATTCAAATGTTCAGGTCCCCATGCAGGGCCGTACCTAGCACAAGTGTGTGTGTACCCATACACACACAAATACACACCCCTTTCCCCAGGTCCTCTGATTCTAAGCACCCACACTATTCTTTATCCTTTAAATGTGATTATTATTATTATCATTATTATTACTTTAGGTAATTCTGGGAATTCTACTTCCTCCTTCAATTCTCAGCTTGGAGTTCAAGAACAAAGACGACATGCCCTATATGTCTCAGGCCCAAGAAATCCATCTACAAGAAAAGGAGCCAGAAGAACCAGAGAAGCCTACAAAGGAAAAAGATGAGGAAGACATGGAACTGACAGTAAGAAATCACTACACAGTTATTCTCCCGGGGGGCATCCCCTAATTCACTTGTTCCATTCATTTGATTTAACGTCGAATAAATACTTTTTGAGATCAGATGGCTGTTCCCCAGCCTCCCACAAGATTTAAAGCATCACAGGTGCTTTCATTTAAATATTGAGAGCAGGATATTATCAAAGTTTCCTCTCCGTGCACAGAGAACGTGACTTTAGGGTTCAATTCTATGTGAAATTATTAGTGCACTAGGCTTAGTGGTGCAGGAAAAACGAATGAAATTCAAAAGCACCCTGCGTTTTCCAAATGAGCATGCTTTATAAACAACCAGGTGATGTGGTAATCTTGGCACGCATGGAGAAGGGAAAGGAATCTATGAGCTAGGAGCAGTCGGGTTCTCCCAGCTGGAACTGTTCTGCTCATCAGAAGCTAAGCCCCTCTCTGTCTTCGGGGTCAGGCTCACAAATGCAGTACTAATTGAATTTTGAGGTTTGCATGGAAAGCTTTTATTAGCTTTTTCCTGGTGTAATTATAGAGCATGGATGCTTTGTTCTGCAGGGGTAATGGGGCAGCTGGGCATGGGACAGCCTCCTGCAACCCCCACCCGAGCCTTATGACTGCCGCTGGATTGTTTCCAAAGACTAAAAATACCACATAGCTATTAAAGGGACAAACAAGGCTTCATAGCTTTGGAGACCAAGCAACAATTTCATAAGCCTTCCTGGCATTCCCACCCTCCTGCACAACCCTGACCAATGATTGTTGCTACAATGACCGAGAAGAATCCATAAGGGGAGAAAAAAAAATATTTTTGCTCAGGTGACATTTACATTATTATTCTAATGGGACCACCCTGTGAACTCTTTTTCCTCCAGATAAGCAGTATTTCGTTCTAGTGGGCACTTTCAAAAGATCTCTTTGCAACCACAATCCCAGCCCCAAGTCAAGTAGGGCATACACAGCAGGCTGCTCTTTTCATTCATCATTCAGAGTTTCTGACCTACAGAGTCCTTGGTAGCTTAAACCAGCTGCCCTCCAATAGATTCTGACTCATAGAGACCCTATAGACAGAGTAGAACTGCCCTATAATGTGTCCAAGGCTGTAATCTTTATAGAAGCAGACTGCCACATCTTTCTCCCACGAAGTGGCTGATGAGTTCAAACTGCTGACCTCTCAGTTAGCAGGAGAGTGCTTAACCATTGCCCTCCCCCCAGGGCTCCTTAGCAGCTTAGGTCACCTGAAAGCATCTTTCTCAGCCTTAACATATGGGTCCAGCCAGCAAAGATCCTCAAATCCATACTCTGCATTTTTGTCTGTAGTTGACCCTGTTAATTCTGCTATAAGAAATGTCAAAGGAGATGGTTGATGGCAAGAAAAAGATATTAACAAAATCAGTAAATTAGGCTGCTTAGGCTAGAATTGCTGAAATGTGTAAAATGCTTTAGTAAAACCCACACAAGGCCAGCCTTTTCCAAACACACTGACTTTGGAATGTATCTGAATAAAGGCAAAGCAAGTTGTTGTTTTGTTTTTGATTTTGGTTCTATTTTGCCTGCACTGCCAGTGCAGTGTCTCCACCTTGCATTTTGCTTAAGAAAGTTCCAGCATGTCACAGACCCAGGGCATTATGGTAGCTCAGTTGGGACACCCCAGAGGTTACCCCAAAATGCCACTCTCTAAGATATCTTCAACCCTTCAAGCTGCCTTTACTCCCATTGCATTGTAGTCCCAATTCATTGTGTCCCATTTCATTGTTTCTGATCTTGACTTCAAGACAAATTATTTCTATAATTAGGTTTCTCAACTCTGAACTCACATTCCCAATGATTTTTCTTGTCCCAAGTGCCTGTCAATCTCTGAGCAGTGATGAGGCCCTTATCCTGTTTTCACATTTAATGAAGATATCATTTTAAGCATGTAAACAAACAGACCAGAAGCAGGGTAATTATGTTATATAAATTATAGAAGGACAATTACCATGTAATCTCAGAGTTTCTGGAGGTCAATGATCAATATTTATAGAACTCTATTGCTGTCTAGAGCATTATATCCATCATGAAAACTGATCCAACTCACTGATCAAAATAAATGCATAGATAGGCCTTCGTGTAGAATCTTACCTGTTCATTAACTTAAGGTACTTTCTAGCCAGAAGGTCCACCACGGAAATGGAGTTACCTTCTCTAGAAATCCTATTGGTTACAAGTGAATCATTTGTGATTGTTACATATTTGAGTAAAGTGGATATTTGAGGCAATGATCCAAGTAGATGAAACCAATATTTAGATATTTTAGATAAGGGTTGCTTGAAATTAGTATTATCTGATAGTCGTCTCTGTTCTCAACTTCAAGACAATTTCTGTAATTAGATCTCAACTCTGAACTCACATTCCCAATGAATTCTCTTGTCCTAAATCCCTGTTAGTCTCTGAGCAGTGATAAGGCCTTATCCTGTTTTCACATTTAATGAAAATTTCTTTTTCCATCATTTGTGGAACTAACCTTGTCTTATAACAATACTGATGAAATAAATTAATTCTCTTGTCCTAAATCTCTGTTAGTCTCTGAGTAGTGATAAGGCCTTATCCTATTTTCACATTTAATGAAAATTTCTTTTTCCACCATTTGTGGAACTAACTTTATCTTATAACAATATTAAGGAATTAAACCCAAGGAATTGAACCACCAGCCTTCTGGTTAGTAGTCAAATGCCTTAGGCACTATGCCCCCAGAGCTCCCTATGTTGTTATAGACTCCTAATAATGCACTTTATTTTTTTCTGGTGAGAAATCTCAACTAGATCGTTTCACATATCCAAGAAAGTCCAAGTTCACTTTAAAGGCAAGCTAATATTTAAAGAGAACTTATCAAGTGCCAGAGGGCTTGGGTGGTGCAAATGATTAACACACTTGGCAGCTATCTAACCAAAATGTTGGAGGTTCAAGTCCACCAGAGACACCTTGGAAGAAAGACCTGGTGATCTACTTCTGAAAAATAAGTCACTGAAAACTGTCATAGAACAGTTTTACTCTTATACACATGAGGTTGCCTTGCCTTGGAATCAACTCAACAGCAATTGCTAACTGGTATTAGTGCCAGGTGCTTATTGATTTATATTCCAATGCTATAGAGCAGATGCTGCTAATATATCCATTTTACAATTGATGAAACTAAGTCTCACAAAGGTTAAGAAAGCTGCCCCAGGCCTCACAAATTCTAAGACTGGAGTTCAGACTCTATTCTCTGTCTGAGTGACACAAAGACTGGAACTCTTTACCTGTCTTCCACCATCTTTGGAGCATCTTGCCACTTGCTACCCATATTGGCATATGTGTCTGCCTTTTTTCAAATTCTGCCTTTGTTGTGATGTTAAGTCATATTATTGTTGCTACTTCTGCTTCTGTCATGAATGAGAAGGAAATACTTCTATTCTTGAGGAAATATCCAATAGCTTAGAGATGAGGACCTCCCAAGGTTAGTTATTATTGGAATCCTTCTCCTGGTTTCAGCTGGTTGACTCTCTCATGCAGAGAAGACAGTGTATCCAGGAATCACCATGAAGCTAGTATCAGTAGTAATTCAAGTTTTCTGGGGTTTGAAATCAGGAAACTAGGACATATGTCTAAGGGCTGGGGCAATGTCTGTGCAGTAGGTACTAAGCTCAACGCATTTCAGATAACTTCTTGAATATTCATAACCTTTGGATAAATTAAGTACCACTTAATGAAATTTATCATTTAGTACCACTAAATGGGTGCTCTGGTAGCATAGTGGCTACAGCACTTGACTGCTAACCAGAAGGCTGGCGGTTCAAATCCACCAGCCACTCCTCAGAAGGAAGATGGGGCAATCTACTTCCGTAGTGATACCGCCTCGGAAACCCTTCCGTAGTGATACTGCCTCGGAAACCCAGGGAGGGGTCGCTATGAGTTGGGGCCGACTCAACGGCAAACAACAACAACAACAACCACTAAATACCACTTAGTACCACTAAATACCACTTAGTACCATTAAATTTACCACTTAGTGCCACTTAGTGAAATTTACCTTTGACTTAAAAGTCATTAGCATGTGGTAGAGTCAGATTTGAACTCAGATCTGCCTATCTCACTAAATATATGGGAGGTGGGGGGAGGAATGAACAGGAAGGGAAGATAGATTCCTAAAGCATCATCTTCCCAGGCTCCATGCTGTCTCCCTCTATGAACTCTGGGTATCTTCTATCACCACCATCTTCCAGAGGGCCCAGAGTAGAAGAGAAGATAGTGTTCAAGAAATATCTCCACCACCTACTGTCCCAGGAAAAGATCACCTGCAGATCGTATGTATAATGCAAATGCTCACCTACAGAAGGTACCCTGATGGGACTTGGGCAAATCATTTAGGTCCCATGAGCATCTTTTCCTCATCTGTAAAATTGGCTTGTTGAACTACAAGCTCTCCAGAGCTATGCCATGATGGTATCCATTCTCTTCCACTGTAGGCAATGTTGGGACGCAACAATGGGGAGTCCTCAAGGAAGAAGGATGAAGAGGAAGTTCAGAGCAGGCACAGGTTAATCCCCCTGGGCAGAAAAATCTATGAATTCTACAATGCGCCCATCGTGAAGTTCTGGTTCTACACCGTAAGCACCTTTCCCTTTCTTCTTTCTTATAGGTGACCACACGGAGCCAGTGTCCATTCCTTATGCACCTGGGTGGCTTTCTCTGGGAGTCATAATATAAGCACCACACATGTAGAAAGAAAGCTCCACAGCCTTGCTTTTCCAATAGCTTTGCCAGATCTGTGGAGTTTGGGAGGCAGCTTCTATAGGCTACATTTCTTCTCCTCACAGAAAATAAAGGAAATGGTAAAAGTGAGAACAGAAATAGAGATGAAATGAGAAATAAGGGTGAGTCTAACCTAGCAGGGAAATAGATGCTCTTTATCAAGGCATTTTTGTGTTCCAAATGAGCCCTACTTCAGAGCTGCCCATTTAGGATGTCCATCCTGGGCTTGGGGGCACATTTGGTGGGCATATTTGAGAAGAGTGTTAGGAGTAACACCACTAGGGATGGGTGGCATATGTGCATGACTACTTCCAATCTAAGTCACACAAATGGTTAAGCGCTTGACTAGTCAAAAGGTTAGTGATTTGAATCCACACAGAGGCACCTCGGAAGACAGGCCTGGTGGTCTGCTTCCAAAAGGTCTCAACCTTGAAAACCCCATGCAGCAGTTTCACTCTGCATACATGGGGTTGCCATGTGTTGGAATCAACTTGACAGCAACTAACAACAATCTGGTGATGTCCTCAAATAAACCTCCTTGCTCTGCTATTAAGCGACATGCAAACCAAAGCAGCAAAAACTACTCAAAGCAAACTACAACTCTCCAAAATATTGCTCAGTGTGCATACCCTGCAAACATTTTCTGCCTACAAAACAGAAGCTCACCACTGAAAGAGCCTCTTGCTATAGAAGAAATGGCTCAGCTGGTGATTTCCCATTTCTCCTTTTCAAAGGCGTTTTAAGCTTGGGCTGAGCTTTGGCCCAGGTCATCCCTGATTCTCTCCAGCCATAGTGGAACTGTGCCAGATGAAGGACAGTGAGCCTGTATTTTTAGCCATTTTCACAACCAGCTACACAGCAGTTGCTTGAGTCAGCAACAGGATAATCTGAGTCTGATGCCAGGATGACTCAAATGACCAGAAGAGGTACTTTCTGTGTGGTTTCAGGTGCTCACACTTGTCACTGGGGTTACAGCAGGTTTCTCAACCCCAGCACAATTGACAGTTGGCCAGAATAATTCTTTGTTACAGGGGGCTGTCCTGTGTATTATAGGGTGTAGAACAGTATCCCTGGCCTTTACCTACCAGGTGCCAGGAGCACACCCCACCACCAGATACAACAACCCAAAATGTCTCCAGCCATTGCCAAATGTCCCTGTGGGGTGAAATTACCAGCAGCTGAAAACCACTGCATTAAAGTATGGTCTTAAAAGAGGATGGAGTGCCTAACAACAAAAACATGCTCAACAACAACAACAAAAAATTACATATATATATAAATACACATACATATAAAGGGATATATGTGTGTGTGTGTACACACACACACATATAAAGGGAGCTCTGGTGGCATAGCACCTAACGCATTTGACTGCTAACCAGAAGACTGGTGGTTCAAACCCACCAACCACTCCTTAGAAGGAAGATGGGGCAATCTACTTCTGTAGTGATACCGCCTCAGAAACCCAAGGAGGGGTCCCTATGAGTCAGATCTGACTCAACAACAGTGAGTTTAGTTTGGTGTTTTTATATATATAAAGAGGATGGAATATTATAAAAACATAAAAGATTTTTTTAATGAAATAAACTTCCAATTTACTAAAGCCTAATGTTGAAAAAAAAAGAACTCCCTCCCTAAAAATAGAGCAAGCAAATATATTTCTCTTTATGTATTATACAGATGTAAATTATTTTTACCTTTTAGAAAACAACTTAGCTGTTCAAAGCATGGACTTCGGAGTCTGTTGCCTCTTACTACTGAATGGCCTCAAGCAAGTTACTTAGCCACTTGATTCCCCAGTTTCCTTATCTGTAAGGTGGGGATGATAATAGTGTAACTGATCCTCATTATTCCTGGATCCCCTATTTGCAAATTTGCCTGTTGTTGTTGTTGTTATTTGCCTTCTGAGGAAGGTTGGGCAATCCTACTTCCATAGTGATACTGCCTCGGAAACCCAAGGAGGGGTCGCTATGAGTCGGGCTGACGACTGGACAGCAAATAACAACAACAACAGGCAAATTTGCAAATAGGGGATCCATGAATAATGAGGATCAGTTACACTATTATCATCCCCACCTTACAGATAAGGAAACTGGGGAATCAAGTGGTTAAGTAACTTGCTTGAGGCCATTCAGTAGTAAGAGGCAACAGACTCCGAAGTCCAATGCTTTGAACAGCTAAGTTGTTTTCTAAAAGGTAAAAATAATTTGCCTACTCACTAAAATTTATTTGTCACCCCCAAATCAATACTTGTATACTCTGGAGTCCTTCGCCCACTTGCATGGAATGGGAGGAAAATGTGATTCACCCTTTACACATGTTCCCAGCTGAGGTCAAACAAGGTGACACTCTGCCTCCCCGTTTCTGCTCGCTCTCATACCAACACAAGTGTAAACAAGTGTCCTTTTCGCAGTCTACTGAGGGCCACAAGAAAGAAAATATCAGCAAATGGAATACCAATTCTTATAGGATTTCCACTGACTCAAATAAGAAACATAAAGTTATATTTCTGTTCAAAACTTAGACATTCTACACACAGGCTGTTAAAGCCTACAGTGTATGTGTGTGCGTGACATTTCTTATGTGACGTGTTTTCGTATTAACTATGTAATTTAACTCTCCCACATTTTCACCCTTTAATAAAATAGGCAAATTATATGTCCCATAGAAGTATCTGCAAATGTGTCCAAGTCTTAGGAAACACCTTTGACTCATATTAAGAATCTACTTATTAGACAAAAAGGAAAGAAGGGAGGGAGGAGAAATGTGGTTAGCAGAGAAAGCTACATTCCTCTAGCACCATAAGACTGCCAGCTCCCCTTAAGTATCTCCCATCCAGACTGAAACTTCCCCCATTTCTGAGCTCCAAAGTCACACTGTCTCCAGAACCCTCAGGGTCTCAGTCTGCCCACATTGTATCCTATCCCTAGCGATGCTGGCTCCGAAAAAGTCTAGACTATTTGAATAAACCCACTCTAAACTTCCTACTCACAGCCCCTGAGACCCCAAAGGCCAGAGCAGTGCCTCACTCAACTTGAGGCTTTGCCTAGAGAAAGTTTAGTTTATATGACATTCCCTTAGGGTGAGTTTTTCTGGGAAATTCCTTAGCTCCTTATGTAAAAACCTTACCAGTCCTTCAACACTCCACTGCTCTAGATTTACTTGAATCCTTCAGTGATTTCACCAAACCTGAACCCTGAGGAGTTTGTCCAGGACAGGCAGTAATTCAGTCTGTCACATTAAGGTTTAACCCCATCATGCTAGAATCCAATCCACAACAGGCACACATACCCACCTCCTTTCCAAAAATTGCTTTGTCTCTCTTGTTTTGTTTGAAAGAAGCAGAAACTAGAAGAGACTATTTCAATTTGGATAGGGCAGGAAGGTTGGTTCAATGGACAATAGGCAAAACCTTCCCAGGGCACTGACAAGCCAAACACTTTAAGGTAAGAGAAAACAGAAGACATCAACTCGGCAGAGAATGAAAGGTGGGCTTCAAAATAATGTCTAGACTATTTCTATGTTGCCTTGATCAATTTACAGGGGTAGTGTGTGCCTACCTTTTTCTCTCATGGAAATTTCGTCTGCTGGCACACAGGCAAACATCTACTCTGCTGCCCTAGTTCAAGAAGCAGAATCGCCTATACATGGGCAAAAGCAGCCCCTGATAGAAGAGGCCCGCCTTCTAGTCGGGAAGACACAGACAACTGGGTCCATGCAAAATACAGTGATGCACCATGCCACCCAGTTTCAAGCAAAGTGCCAGGGCAGCAGAGACCCATGTGAGGGTCAAGAAAGGCTGCATATTATATTGGTTCAAAGATTACAGTACATGTTTATTCTTTTGGATTCCATGTCCTGCTTGCTGACCTTGTTTTATCCTGCTGTGCGGTGGCCTTATGCAAGGACAGGGCTCCTGGGCTGTACCAGCCAGAGCTCTGTATTATGTTTCCTTACAGCTGGCGTACATTGGATACCTGATGCTGTTCAACTATATCGTGTTAGTGAAGATGGAACGCTGGCCTTCTACCCAGGAGTGGATCGTCATTTCCTATATTTTCACCTTGGGAATAGAGAAGATGAGAGAGGTAACTGCTTTCAATAAAGAGAAGACTGGAGAAAGAAAATGGCTGTAATAATAATAATAGAAGTTGATCAAAGTTTATTTAATATATGTTAATATTAAAGTTATTTAATATTTGCAGATAGGGGTGATTTCTAACTAAAATAATAATAATAATAATAAAAACTAAACCTATTGGCATAGAGTCAATTCCAACTCATAGCTACCCTATAGGACAGAGTAGACCTGCCCCAGAAGTTTTCCAAGGCTGTAAATCTTTACTGAAACTGCCTCGTCTTTCTCCTGTGGAGCAGCTTGTGGGTTCAAACCACTGGCCTTTCAGTTAGCAGCTGAGTGCTTAATCACTGAGCCATCAAAAATCAGGGCTCCTTTATTTCTGACTAGAGAGTCAAAAACATTCCAAAGGAGAAAGTTCTTTCACAGATTTTTATATTCCATCATATTGCTAGTTATTATACATTGTTAGGAAAAAGAGCTAGAATAGAACTGATAAAACAATTTGTTATCATGCCAGATGCCATATAGCATTGTCTTAAAGAACAATTGCTGACTTAAGACGAAGCTTCTCATCTGACCGTTGGAGTTTCTGTTGCCAAAGCCATGGATAGTTTTATGAAAGACCATACTGCTGAAGGCAAATACTCTTTACATATTGTTTGGGTTAAGAAATTCTGGTGGTGCGGTGCTTAAAGCATTCAGCTGCTAACCAAAAGTTCAGCGGTTTGGACCCACCAGCTGCTGCATAGGAGAAAGATGAGGCAGTCTGCTTCCATAAAGATTTACAGCCTTGGAAACCCCCTGGAGCAGTTCTACTCTGTCTGGTCGCTATGAGTCAGAATAGACTCAGTAGCAATGGGTTTGGTTTTTTGAGTATTGTTTGGCTTAAAGGTGACTTTTAGGAAACTGGTTTTCTCCAGGCTCAAGGTTCAAAGATCATCTCAAGGTGATAGTTTTGGTAGGTCATTTTCAGCCTGCATGGAATCCAGAAATCTGCATGAGAAAAACTCCATTCCTCTCTAGTTACATAAATGGAGGGAAGAAGGGACACTCCGGAGGCCAATTGATCCAGACACGATTTCCCTTGTGCTGCCACAGAAACAGTGGATGTGACTTCATGAGCTGCTTCTTTCCTTCTTTGACAAACCTGGGGAAGCTGCACAATACAATGTTTATAGGGTCATCACTGCAGAAGGACTTAGGATGTTGTCTCCTTTCTACTAATGTCATTCTGTTGCACCAAGGAACACTCCAGTCAGCTTCCTCTAATGATGTCTCTGAAGCTCTTTATACCTCTCTTCCTTCAACCCTATAAACATGACTTACACATTTTCCACTATTAACTCCCATTTCAACCCGCTGCTATGGGTCTCTTCGGGCTCATTCCACTAATATCTATAATTCTCCAAATTAGTTTCAGCAGCTCCAGGAGAGCTAAAGGAGTCCCTGGGTAGTACAAATGGCTGACAGGCTCAGCCGCTGACCAAAAAGGTTGGAGGTTCAAGTCTCCCCAGACGTGCCTTAGAGAGAAGGCCTGGCATTCTACTTCTGAAAACTTAGCCATTGAACATCCTATGAAGCACAGTTCCACTCACAGATGGGGCTGCCGGGAGTTGCAATTGACTCCATGTCAACTGAGAGTGGTACTGGAAGAGGAACTACCCTTTCATTCATTTAATTCTTTCTCTTGTTTGTTGGGGCACCAGTTACTCCACCAGCCTAGGGAACACTAAGATGAATTGAGCACAGTTCTTGTTCTCCAAGTTAAGGGTGTGGGTCCCTCTTTTCTCTCCCTCTCCTACTACTCTCATTGCCTAAAAGGCACCATTATAATACTGCCCCCATACAACTTGTTTGAAGTTAGAGCTAACTTCAGGGGTGCATCAGACCAGAGCCACTATAACAAATGTGGAGTTCCTGGGGGAAGCCAATGGTTAACATGCTGCTAACCAGAAGGTTAGAGGATTGAGTTTACCCACAGGCACCTCAGAACAAAGGTCTGGTGTTCTGGTTTCCTAGTGCCACTCTGACAAGAATATACCACAAATGGGATGGCTCTAACAAACAGGAGTTTATTCTCTTACAGTTTGGAGGCTTTAAGTCCAATTTCAAAGTGCCAGGCTCTAGGGGCTGGGTGAAAGCCCCTCAACCTTGGAGTACAGCTCTGCCTCCTGCTCCTGGCCCACTGGAGCTAGAGGCATTTCTTCACTCAGACAGCTGCTGGCTGCTGAGGCTGAGGTTGACAAGTAAAAAGGCACAGTCCAGATGTTACCAAACCACACGGCAGGCCATTAACTTAAGTCCATAGTAAATCCCAAGGTCGGCAGAGCATAGCAGACTGCTGAGCAATGACACGGCTACATACAGGGTCCAAGCGTGCCATAGGCTAGAGACCATTCCCAAGGCTAACTTAGTCTTATATACAGGAAGCAGACCACATCCCAAAGGCAGCTACTCAGCTGCTTGTGGTACATCCCACCATGGAGATGATTGCTAGTCTCATCATGGGGAACAGCTACCACCAGCTGCCCAGCCATTCAACCAGGCCCAGCCAAGTTGACACACAAACATAACCACCACACCTGGCAAGCCACTTCCAAAAAATCAGCCACTGAACACCCTATGCAGCACAGTTCTCTTCTGACTGCCCTGAGTCGGACTCAATGACAACTAGAAGAAAAGCAAATGAATGTGGTCAAGCAAAACTCCACAAGAGGGCTCTGCAGCCCTCCTCAAAGCTCTCCACAAACTCCCATTACAGGAGAAAAAGGCCATCTGCAGGCGTTTGAGGTAGTGATGATTCTGGTTCATTTTCCCAGGAACTATAGTCAGTGGGCCCACCAGCCACTCCTCAGAAGGAAGGTTGGACAATCTACTTCCATAGTGATACCGCCTCAGAAACCCAAGGAGGGGTCGCTATGAGTTGGGTCCGACTCAATGGCACATAACAACAACAACCTACTTCAGAAAAATCAGCCACTGAAAATCCTGTTAGTGGGAGAGACCTTTTTCTACAAAACTGTCAGGCCCACTACTTCTTCAAGGGCTTCAGACCAGTCCTAGCCACTGTACTACAGCGCTGGGAAAATGTATGGGGCTCCATAGAGAAAAGATTTCCCTCTAATGCATGAATTCACTGTCATCTTCATTGCTGAGATAGGTTCTTGGGTTTCTGCTCAGGAGTGTTCCCCCGCAGAGACAAAGATGCAGCAGCTATTACCCACTGCAGTCTAGTCCATTCTAAGTCACAGTGGCCCTCTGTTACACAGTAGAAGTGCTCCACAACATTTTCTTGGAGCTCTGGTAGCATAGTGGCTAAGACACTTGCCTGCTAACCAGACGGCTGGCGGTTCAAACCCACCAGCCTCTCCTCGGAAGGAAGGTTGGGCAATCCTACTTCCATAGTGATACTGCCTCGGAAACCCAAGGAGGGGTCGCTATGAGTCGGGTTTGACTC